CATAGGAAAAAGAATCAGATTCCGCGATAGAAAAAATACTAGTCAGATCAATCACATCGACCTCGACTACACTCTTCTTCCAACTCGGGCATGCACATGCTATATTGAAGTCGTTGTTCCATGTTGCTTCATCCCCCCATTGACGAGTCTTGAGGGAACACCTCATGAAAGAAACAAATAGATCTGGAACTATCTTCTTCCAGTTCGCTTCCTTGATAAGAGTACGTTCTTGATAAGTTACGCTCTTGAAGTATGCAGATCGCAGACCGGGTGGGTGAATTTCAGTTGCATCGTTCACCGGAGTAATGTTATTAACTTCATCTGTCAGTTGTAAGTGGTTGTAAATATCTTGTTGCTGCTCATGCTCATCAGGACTATCCCTGTCATTGCGGGTTGGGGCATTCGCAGGGTTGTCTCGATTCGGCCTTTCTTCTAAGCCTGCAATTCTACGATGCGAGGCTTCCGCTTCGCGTTGTAGAAGCCGAGCTAGTCTTTCGCTGGCACTTCCAGGGGGTGGCCTGGCCGGGGCTGACTGCTCTCTCTGACGTTTGTTAGAATCTGGAATGAGGGATCCGGGTAGTACCATGATTTAGTTCAAAATGAAAATGATACATGAGGATGAGGTGCTTCAGAAATCGAGGATGAATGGTACTCGATTCAGATGTATCATTAATCAGTGTATAGTGGGCAAACCCAAGACCGTGTAACAAGTCGCCCCGCAAAGGTCTGGTGGTCCGAAATTTTTGAGATTTTTGGGTTTTTTTAGCCTGATTTTTTTATTGATTTCACTCCACGTGGCACCACTCTGCAAACATCCACCCCGGTTATATATATACAACAATTCATCTTAATATCAAAATGGTTGTCTCAGCTGTAAAGAGGGCTCAAAGAGAACGTCGCCAACGTGAGGCAAATCAACGTAATCTGGAAACTTTGGCCGTCAAGAACACCCAGCAAGAGCAACAAGCCCAAAAGACGAATGAAATTCATCAGAAGACTCAGCTTTCCAGCTCTGAACCAATTGAAATCAGTGACTCTGACTCACACGAAGGTCCTTTCGATAATGCTAATGAAGCTGGAGCTTTTGTTGATCCCAACAAATCCACAAGATCACATGATCCTGTAGAAGTGGAAGCCACCGACTTACTTGATTTAGTTGAAGAGGATACCACTAATATACTTAATCAAGGTGAAGAGAATGAACTCAGAGTGCTTTGGTTAATCGAGAACAATATAGTTGATGATGACGATGAAGCTGAATATGAAGAAGAAATCCTGAAAGGTTCCCTCTGGCCAGTCTTTAATAAGAATGCGCAAAGTGAAGCTCCAAAAGTCCAGAACTTGAAACGAAAGAACTTAAATGGCGACATCGTTGGCTATCAAAAACCACAGACTGATCAAAACAGCAAAAAACTCAAACCTGCACGAATCCCCAAGCAAACTGCTCACTCACAACGTGTCAAACAAAAGAAAGAAGCTGGAGCTAATGATATACAATTGTATTTATCTAAACCCGCCCCAAAAGATTCATCACCTCAATCTGACATCATAGCTCAACCCGATATCACCACAGAACAGCCACCTCAAATATCTGATGAAGAAGAGCATACCGTGCTCAATAGCCAATTGGATACCGAAGCTGACAGGGAACGTGAATTGTGGATTCAGAAGATGGTTGAAGATTATCGCACAGCCGCATCAAAAAATGATAGGGTATTACATTCAAAACAACAGTCCAAGATGGCTTCTATTGAGCAACGATGGAAAGAACTTGATGAAGCCGTCAATCAGGCAGCTATTTATTATAAAGAGAAGCAAAGGAAAGACCCCACCTTTCAATTCCCGACAGCTGAACTAGGCGAGATCCGTGAATTCAACACACGTCGCAGAGAGCTGGATATTTTGGGCTCAAAGTCCCCTGCAGTAGCAGCTTCACTAATGACTGCCGAGTCATCAATCAGACGAGGAGTCAAATACACTCATCTCTCATCAAAGTCCACACTCACAGGATTAGGTCGATCTCGGTACATTCGATCTCAAGCAAATCATATCCTCACATTCAGAAAACTTTTAGAATCAGCCCGAGGTAAAAACTCACCTCATCCCTCAATGATCGATGATGAACGGGTTTCACGAGCCCTAATGTCTTGGGCAGCTTCAAAGAAGCCAGGCGAGGTAAATCATTTCTGATAGTTTGTCTTATCAATCACAGCTAATCATTGTCTGCTATGTACAGGTAACACCTCAATCATTCCTTCACCACACCAATACCACGATCCTTCCTCAGTTTGGTTACAAGGACACAATATCACAGATTACAGCTTATAAGTGGATGCGGAAACTAGGTTTCCAATTGCAAGTCTATCGCAAGTCTCCTTACTTCGATGGCCATGAACGGCCCGATGTTGTCGCCTATCGAGAAGAGTTCTTAAAAACAGTTTCCAGGCTTCGAAAGCAATCGGTCATGTTTGAAGGCGAAAATCTTGAGACAGCAGTTCAACCAGATCCTGCAAATTTTGAAGATGGTGACGATGATCGGGTAAAAGTATTTGTTTATCATGACGAGTCAACCGTTCACGCAAACGAACGACCATGATTGTCATGGCTCCTACCAATGACAAACGAATTCCAACTCAAAAGTGATGGCCGATTAATCCACATATCCGACTTCATCCTTGAGACAACTGGTCGCCTTACTCTCACTCCCGAACAACAACTTCAACATCAGTTATCTGCTCATGATGCTGCCACGGTAATATACCCAAGTGGCCGAGTTGGTGGTGATCGATGGTGGGACATGGAACAAGTCATAAATCAGGTTCAAACACGAGCGATCCCGATTTTCAACGCGTTGCACCCCAATTCACAAGCAATTTTTGTTTTTGACTGCTCCTCAGCACATGAGGCCTTTGGTCCAAATGCTCTTTGTGTGAGCAACATGAGTCTCGGGTCTGGTGGCAAACAGAAGCATTTAAGAGACACCTACATACCAACTGATGATGAAAATATACCTCAAGGGCTTCGAGGCCTCCCCCAAAGTATGGTATTCCCTGCCGATCATCCAAATCCGTGTCTCGCTGGCGAACCAAAAGGTATCCAAGTCGTTCTCGACGAACAAGGTTTATGGGATATCTACAAAAAGAAGGTCAACGGTAAGACTGTTTTAAAGTGTCCAAAATGCAAGCAATCCGGTGTGGCTCAAGATGCAAAGATCCGAGCGGAACGATTAATGAAGGAAGCCGAAGAAGCTGGCTTCTTTTTCAATGAGAAAGAGAGTGCGCCTGCCCCGATCGATCCGCCTGAAACGTGGTGTTGTGCCTCAAGACTCCTCAGCCAGCAGTCAGATTTTAAAAATGAACGCCCCCTTTTACAAACCGTTATCGAAGACGCTGGTCACGTCTGCTTGTTTCTTCCCAAGTTCCATTGTGAACTTAACCCGATCGAGATATTTTGGGCTTACATCAAGCGTGGTAGGTTTTCTCTGATCTCGTCTTTATCTCTTGATAGGCTAGCCTTTCATCTGCTTAGAATTCCGAAAAGACAGTCGCAATGCAAAGCGATTCGAAGACTCTAAAAACTTGTTTGAGCGAGTTCAAAAAAGCTGCCCCTTATCAACAATCCGAAGATATTTCCGTAAGATCGATAGACAACACTCGGCATACCTGTGAGCATCTTCCCTCTATTCATTTTCTCATCTCCTTTTACTGACTTCAAGATGACTTCAAGACAAGGTTACTCTACTGTTGAGGCAGCAAAACTCGTGAAGAAGTATTCATCCCATCGCTGCATTCCTAGGAATGCAGCGATGAGAATCGATGTTATAGGATCCTAAGAGTCCTCTCAAACTATAGTGTGATTTCACTCTTGTTCTTTTCTTTTCTTTTTTGTTCACTCGCTCCATTTGCAATCGATTGCCTCCTCTCGCTTTGAGAGCTGAGCAGACATCACTTATCCTCAGGCTGCATAGTTCGGGCACCTAGTAAGTACCCTAAGTACTTAGTATTGGCCTTATATACATAGCACCTTAGCTTTAACACCCTAAGGGCTTAACCTTAAGTACCTAGTTAGGTACCTAAGGCCCGGGTCCGAAAATCTGAGGTTTGAAAAAAGAAAAAAGATATGTTACAACATGGCTTGCATATGTTCAGACCAAGCCAAATCCGCTGATTCTACCTGTACATGAGTCAAGCTTGAACATTCACGTCAAGTCACTCATCATTCACTTGCGAGGTCAAATTTGGGTTTTGCGGGGCGACATGTTACACGGTCTCGGGTTTGCCCACTATATACAAAATGACCTTGCCCAAAGCAGCCGGAAGATCACTATGAGCCAATGACGTTAAATTAGGTTATTTCATGTGACAACACCTGCCAACTAAGGAAAGTCTTGGTTGATTGAAAATGATAATCAAAGAAGAACCGCTGCCAACCATAAAACGGCTTGTGTTGAGAGTGTTAAAGAACACTCTTGTGAAGAGATAGACAGATAGGTTCTGTCTTAGCATCTCTCAAGTTGATGTGCGTCAAGCTCTACTATCAGATCTACTATCAGCGTTGCTAGTGATTTTAATCTAAGAAACAGGGCACTGTCCTTAACAGCAATCAGTTGTGTAGTTGTGTAGCAGAAAGGTCAAGGCATGATAAAAGATATCATAAACCTTCAAACAACTGTGCTGTTCTTATTTAATTTGCTCATGACTAAGACCATTGTTACTACAGTGACAATA